TATTTAATAAAAATGAATTTTGCAAAACAGAAGAATTTTGAGTTAGCAAATAAGCCGGGGAAGTGGTTAGCATATAAAGTGAGAAAAGAAAGTGAGAAGAAAATTATATTAAAATTACAAAATGGAAATGCTATGGTAACAGATAATGCAAATATGCAAAGCAGATTCCATTAGTATTATACAAAACTTTATAAAGGAGAAGAAATTTCCTCGGCAAGAGTGATGAATATTTAAAGAAGCAAAATTTATCAAAGATAATGGATAAATAAAAGCGGATGATGAATGGACCTATAACAATAAGAGAGAGAGAAAGAATAAAAAGTACAAAGAAAGAAAAAGAAAAGAAATATATAAAGAAGTGACTTCCAGTCTTCATCACAAGTAAAAACAAATTTGATAACTCATCATCCCCTATAAAGTTACAAACAAATTTTTCTTCTCCTTATAACCCATCCCTTCTATATGCAAAACCATAAATCATCAACTTTTCAATCCTGGTGTCAGCAAAAAGTCCACAAAGGGTTACCAGAGCTTCAGACCAACTTCATTGTCCTCTCTTTTACTTCTAACAGTCTTGATCTTTAATTCATTCAGATGTTGTCTTTCTCCCATAGCAAAGACTTCTTCGAGGCTTTAACACACCTCATTTGTAAATCCAGTGGAAAGTCTTATCCAGGGCATTGTCTTGGTTTGTCTTTTGCATGTCCCCTTTGATTTTCAAAGCCGTGACCAACTTCTTTTGTGTGTCCAGTAAAAAGTTCTTATCGGAGTCTTTCTCTTGGCTCTTCTCTATCTTGTAATCCACACTTTTTCCTGTCATTTGTATTTCCAATTTGAATGCCTTGTATATTTTGTAATCTGCACTTCTTTTTATCCACTATTTCTGCATCAAGCAAAATTCATTTCACATTTACCACTCCTTCATGAACATATTTTAGACATAGTCTATTCAGAGAAGCAGACATCGTTACTGATAGTGTTGATATTGTGGCTACTAATTTCTGGCCCCATTCTTCAAAGATCTCCTTTAATATTTCAAATGTTATAGTATTTTGTGTCATTTTGTAAATCCCAATCCTAAAGGCAAGTTGTTGGTTTTTTTCTTTTTTTGCCTGACTTAAGTCCCTTCTAGTGTTCAATTTAAGGTTGGCATGAGTTTTTATGGTACAATAAAGTTAATGTAGATTTCAAAAGTCATTATGTAAGAAGTGACATATTAAGGATAGGGAATAAATATAACCACAAGTTGTGCCTAAAAATATCTTTACTGGTCTCAGCACAGGAAGCATTTTATAGAAAAAATACAACAGGCAAAGAGAAATGGTTAACATATCAAAACTTATTAATACAGGAAGATGGACAGCTTATGGTGAAGTCAAGAGAACAATTAACTACAGAGGGATTTAATTTTCAATGGTTTTCATATGCATAATTGAGAGAAAGATTTAACATAGATAAAAAGGTAATGGGGATTGAACAACATAAGATGGAATTTGAAAATGAATTGTGTACAAATGATGAGCATGTGACTGTAAAAATGTATAAACATTTGTTGAAATTTAAAACAGAAGATGAACAAGTTAAAGATTGCATGATAAAATAGGCTAAGAATTTTGGTTACAATATACAGATGGATCAATGGGAGACAATGTGAATAAAGGGACTGAAATTCACATTGTGTTATAATTTAAGAGAGAACTTTTTACCAAATGGTGTACTGTTGGTATATGGCACCAGAGAAATTATCTAAGATGGATAAAGATACTTCTAGTCAATGTTGGAAATGTGAAAAACATGAAAGAACATTTTACCATGCATGGTGAACTTTTGAAAAAGAAAAAGAAAAAAGAAAAGGAAAAGGAAACAAATACATACGATAATACAAAGAATTTTGAAGATTAATATTGAGATGAAACCAGAACTGTTTTTATTGGGACTTATGGATAGTCAGTTAGAAAAGACTTGTGGAAGATTGATTTTATATATGGTAACTGCAGCAAGATTTTATAGTCAGGTCCAGAAATATTGGGACATCGACACAATTCTAACATCTTTGGCTCTATACACCACCACAATGGAT